CACATCGTGATTATTACATAGATAGCGCCCAAGCGTGTCGAACCCAAATAAAAATTTTAAAGTTTAATCCGCCATTCGGAATTGAATAATATTTTAAAAACAGAGGAATGGAAATAATCATAGATCGCGTACAGTAGCAATAAATGTTGCAGCAGTGGTGCGAAAGCCTGAGCGAAATAAAAATGGCCGATTTTAATTGCTCTGTAGTTTGCATTAAACAAAAGTATAAAGACTACTCAAAGTAATACCACTCTTCTCTTCCCAAAAATCACATGTTTTTATTGCTGATAAGAACTGATGTGGGCGGCCTTAAGAGCTCGGCATACACTATGAGAAGCTGCCAAGATCAATCATGCTGAGTAGTAGTCCGAGATATTCCCACTTTAAATAACTCATAGACAGCTTAAGTGCAAGTGAGCTGACAGGATGCTGTGCATAATGAAAAGGACGCGCGATATGCAATCAACAAATCCCTTATATCGTCAGAACTGCATTGTTGTGAAGTATTAAATACATAATGACCCTACTTATGGTAGCTTGTACACTTTGAATAAAACGAATGTGTTTTTGACGTACACGCGTATAAGCTAAACTAATTCATTATTGCTCAATTACTACAAGTGTCTAGCTGTCTAGGGCCATCGTTTATTATATTCGTATCAATATTGTACGGATTATGATTACACATATTTATTTTGCAATGTCCGGCTCATAGAGGTATTTTATGCAAACACATATATCAGAAAAAATATACGAGATTGAAGTATTAAACGTATGATGTGGAAATACCGATGGGATTTAATACGTACAATATATCAATCATGGAGCCTGACGCTTTGAATCGTATATACAGGCATGGAAGTTTGAAAACTGGATATTCTCAAGATAAAAACGTTATGAACATACATTAGTCTAATCATATTAGCAAATTTATCCGAAATAATTGTAAGTCTGGTTTTATTTGTGCAAGTTGTTGAAGGGGGCATTTAAAACATGGACGCATAAAATGGGTACACCAATTTTTGTGGGAAAACTTTTTATTTGACAACAAGAATGACAAAAAGTGTTTTTTGGATTTAATCGAACAGGAACGAAAAAAACCCTATTTTTAGGAATTCATGAGACCTACAAATGAACCACACGTAAAAAAAATCCAACTAATAGCAAAAAGTTATCGCCGAAAACTGAGGCAAACTGCAGGTTGTATTGGCACTTGCTGGTAATGCGACGATTGTTTATCGCAGATATTTGAAATTCTTCAAATTCGTAGGATTCGTACTTCTCAATAACCCACAAAAAACGCAATCAATTGCACTTGCTTCGATATGCTTGCTTTTCATGTTTGTCCCATGCTTAGCGTTTGCGTTTTCATTTA